GGGATGCTGGAAAAGAACATGGAAGCTACAGTGTTAAGGGTTTAGGGTTTGGGGTTCTATTGGAGGGAATATAGGGGTAATGTGGGGATCCCGGAAGTTTAGTAGGGAATAAGGGAATAGTATAAGTCTAGGGGGATATAGTAATGGACAAGAGTAATAACAGGGTATACACACATATATAAATAGGGATTATTCTAAGGATAATGGAAAGGAAAGTAGAAGCTACCACCACTGAAGCATGCAGCAAAAACCCTAAACCCTTAAACGTAAACCCTAAACCCTAAGACCCTAAACCTAAACCCCAAGACCCGAAACCGCGTCTATCCAGCAGGCCAAGGACCGAACCATCATGTCCATCATGCCCCAGTCCATACTCCAATCATTCCAGCCGCCACCGCCGCCGCCCATCCAATCGCCATTCCAGTCGCCGTAGCCGCCCATCATGCCCATGTCCATCTGAGCTGTTGTCTAGTATCCCGATTAATAACCCCTATGATAGTCACCCATATAATCCCTTATATAACCCGCTTGAAGGAGTTTAGATTATGGTTCATCTCAGCAAGGAATACTCTTTCATTTCTAGGCTTCCAGTGCCCCGGACACCCAAATCCTGAGGTTGGTACCATCCCTTTGCCGCCCTTGCCGAACATTCCTTTGCCCCTGGCAGGAAAGGACAACTGTGGCATTTCCTTATGGTGCAGCGCATCATCTTCATCAAATGTGCGGGATGAGTTGGCCGAACTGCTTGCCACTTGGCTGATGAAGGAATGTCGTACGCTTCAAGGCGAATCAGAGCTACAACTATGCCTCAGGTTATGCGCGCCTGCTGATTGTCTTAATTTTGTTGCCTTCCTCATGCTGCTTCCCACTAGCTGTTTCAGTTGGTAGTGAAATTAGATATTGTCAAATAGCAACTGCCAAGCTGAGAGCAGCACTTATTCGGATTAGGCGGATCGGGTCTGAACCTCGAGTTCCAGGACGCACAGAAGCAGGTGCACAGTCACCAAAGCTCAAGCTAATGCATGTGGCCACGAATCCTTCCGTGCTCGGAACTGATGCGCGGCCATCATGCGGTGGCTGTTGAGGGTGCGTACCAGATCAATTGGGGCAATCATGTGCCCCGAGGCTACTTGTTCAGGTCCCGCTTGGAGGACAAAGGGAGGCCATGTCAACAACAACTCAGAAAGAGATTCCGCACTCATGTCGATGGTGCATCTTAAGTAGACCATTCCTTCATCAGGGGCGAGCTGTTATCGACATCGTGAATGTCCGTTACCCAACTGAGGTGATGGCTTCATCAATATCTGCCGCTGCAGGTCCAAGGCCTGACTCGCTTGTAATACAAAGCTTGGCACGCCACCCCAATATACTATAGTAGCCCAATGTAATCCCAATATAACCCCAATATAACCCCTAATATCCCAATATTACCCCCTGTGCTTGTTACACAACAACTTCCTGGAACCAAGCTCTGCACAGGACGCGGATATTTGCTCGGCGCAACCGGGTGCCTGTGCAGGTTCAGCTGTTTCACAGGGCATAAGGCTCTTGACTGGATGGGTAGTCCCAGGCCCAAAGAGCATGAACACAGCACGTGAACTGCCACGGTGCCCGGAAGCTGCAGCGAAGTTGATGGCCCGCGGATAGGGCGGGGGCTGTTTGAACTCGTTTTCCTGCAGTAAGCTGAATGTTTTCAAGCCTGCAAGCGGCCATTCTTTGCTCAACAAATGCTGAGACCCTGCGAAAATTCATGGCAGGTGGATAAAATTTTACACATTGGTTTTGAACGGGCGGCCTCAAACTATACAATCAGGCCATTACAAACCCAGTCCTCACGCAGCTGCCGGTAGTAGCCTTGGACGGCAAACTGCAAACATCTGCCTTTCAACCCCTAGAATCCTAAACCCTAAACCCTAACACAGTAGTTTCCATCTGATTTTCCGTCATCCCAATATAACTCCGATATAATATAAAGTAGTTTCCATGTTCTTTTTCCATTATCCCTATAGAACCCCAATCTATAACCCCTATACAACCCCAAGATAACCCTTATATAACCCCAAGATAACCCCTATATAACCCCAAGATAACCCTTGTATCACACAAATGGGAGTTCATTCAATCCATAGGATCTGTCAGGTCCTGGCCATCCCGGAGGAGTTCTAGCCATCCTCAGGATGAGGATTGGGTACCCCTTGGGGTAATATTCAGGTTATATAGGGGTTATATGGAATAACGGAAAATGAAATGGAAACTACTATAGTATATAGGGGTTATATTAGGATAATGGAAAATAAAATGGAAACTACTATAGTATATAAGATTCAGCTTATATAGGAGTTATATAGGTATACTATAGCGATCATAGGGGGTTTAGATTGGGATAATGGAAAATAACATGGAAACTACTATAATGGGTTATATGAGGGAAATTTTGGGCAAAACCAAGCTTTGCTCCTTCGCCATCATCGTCCTTGGGAACTGCCGACTCATCTGCGGTGGGAACCTGCTCATGTGTGAACTAGCACAGCCGGAGCAAAATCTTCCTGCTTCGCACATTAGACTACGTGCGCTTTGAATCTTCGCACCTGGTATGCTATTGCCGATTCCTCGCCTCCCAAGCGGGGTCTATGTGCGCCGGGTCCGCTAGCGGAGCAGGGACCAGATTTGGTGCTGGCACAAGGGCAGCTGCTGGCATAGGTGTAGGAGAGGTCACCTGCAAAACAACACTTGCCCTGTGGAGGAGCACCTTTGTAGTGAAGGCACTCCCTACTTACTCAGGCCACGGCCGTCACAGGCGTCACAGGCGGTGTCGGAGCGAGAGAGGGCGGCGCCTGGCAGCTCACTGATTCCACACGATACCCGAAGGCTAGACCTCGATCACTCACCTCTTACCCCACAAGTCCCTGGAAGGCGTTGACCCATTGCCTTGAAGCCAGCTTTGGCCTGCGCCGCTTGCATCTCTGGAACCTGACTAGCGTCAATTTTCAGCATCTGGTATTGGTTCTGCGTATCTGCGGCCAGCTAGAGGATCATTCATGAGCAACAATGATTCAAATCCGAGAATAATCAGCACTGCTGCCGAGGAACCTGGCTTACCGCCTTGGGTGGCACGGTCGCTCCGGTCATGGAAGGTGGCGCCTGCAATGTAGCTCACACGAAGGACTCGAATCAGGGTTGGGACATCTTGCATTTCAGCAAAACATGATTTGGCCCCAGTAAAGCAATCTTGCGCGAAGGTCATTTGTATGCGTGACCGCCACGTCATGGCTACAGGTTACGCAACAGGAGCAGCCAAATAAACACACAAGAATCTTCCGGTCAGCAGTCACACCTGGCTGACGGCCTTCGGTGGCACCTGCCAGCAACTGAGCTGCACAAGTTGATGCATGATGCATTCGACATCCTGCAGCTCGAAGCAAGCAACCACGTCAAAAACTAACACCAAGGGTAGAAGGCAAAAAAGGATGGTGCATGCATTCGAAGCCCCAACCCCACAGAAAGCTTCGTGCTACAGCTCCCACCTGACTGACTGCCTTTGAGGGTGGAGGTGCCTGCCAGTCGATGGGCGCAGGACTGAAAATGTGTTGCAGAATTCCACAACCTGAGCAATGCTTGGGTTTCGAGCTGCCAAACCCTAAGTAGCACTCCCGAAGCAAAGCCCAAAGCCAATTCTAAAGCATAATCCAATCTCTAGTCTGCACTTGCCATGGTTCAAAATGCACTGGTCACCTGTGCTCTCGCCTTGAAGCTGGCAATTGCCAAGGAGTCTGGAACCTGAGGCAGCAGCAAAATAGAGAAGCTCACTAGGTTGGCCCCTAAAACCCGTTGAAAAATATCAGTATATATGGTCCCCTATTAAAGCCATTAGGGAAAAGGTTAAATATGCCAAGGGCCTACCCAGCTCACAATCCAAAATCACCATCAAGTAGAGCACTTTCTGGGGCGGCCGGTGCTGGTGCAGTGAGTGAAAGAAAAGCGTGGCTGCTTTGCAAGAATGATCTTTGTTTAAGCCCATGTTGGCAGCTGCCCCTGTTGGGTTTAAAGCAGCCGGCCCTCTGACAAATAACCATGAAGCACTCGGGAGCTTCACAGACACAAACAGTTCAAGAAAACGGATCCTTACCAAATAGCTGCAGTGCTGTGGATGAATGGAATTCAGACCCTTCCGCAATTGAAAGCCCCACGAGACCAAGGCAACATCCTCGCCGGGCGCCATGAGGGCAGCGCCGCTGGGCTATGCGGCTAGGTCCTTGTGCCCCTGCAATTTTCCTGAAGTCGCTCAGTGCTGGGTTGACGGTACTCCTTGAGGAAAGCTGTGCTGCTCGGTAACAAGTTGCCTCGTCAGGCAGAAGAAGAACCGATCTCAATTGCGTTCTCTGCATGCGGTTGGGACCAGTGCTGGAGAGATGCAGTCAAGCCAGGGTGTGATGCCTGCCTACCCAATATGCGGGCTTGGCAAAGGCTGGATGGAGCAAGTCTAGCATGGCCCAAGCTATGCTTTGATGTCGTTGCCATGTCATGTGACTTTCTCCCAGCTGATGCGGCGAGCATGGTTTGAAAGTCAACCACCAACTCTGGATCAACAATCCTGCCTGGAGCTAGCCTTGTGACATCAGCATTGCATGAGAGGCCCGCACGTCAACAAGGCAGCGGCAGCAAGAGCAGAAGCACCGGCGGCAGCAGCGGCAGCAGCAGCAGCAGCAGCAGCAGCACTAACAGCAAGAAAAGTGTCAACAGGTACCGTAGCATGTCGCTAGTAGCATGGATTGATTTTCTGGCACCTTCTGATCAACAGGTTCAAGCATCGGCGCCCACTGTTTTGAGCTTTCGAAATTCACAGATCAGGCGAACTTGGAACTGATGTGCACGTGCAAGTATTTTAGGCTGTCAGCCCAGCTTGCAAGGTATAAGTCTAGACTCCTAGATCTGAGATTGCACAGCAGGCTCTGCTAATAACAATGTGTCCGAAAGAGTTGCAGAGGCTTAGCTATGCTGACTTACACTAGCACATCGCTTTCACTTGGAGTTATCTGCCATATGACGGCGAAGCCCTGGTTGCAAAAGGCAAGGAAACTGGGCATGATTCGCTGACAAGGCCAACCATGCAGCAGCAATCATTGTTGCTTTGATGCTACTATCTTGGCAGTGGCGGATGATGCACAGAACGAAAACCAGGAGCCTATCCCGTCTCGATGGTGAACGAGAAGTACTTCGGGCTCTTCTTCTCCTTGCCCGCCACACCGGCTTCGATGGCTTCACCACAAATGGATTGGTCAGCATCCCCCCCCCCTCCCATCTCCAAAGCTTCTCAAATTGGACGGGACAAGAGCATCTGCAAAATCGTGGACCTAGAAGGACTTCGTCTGCGGCTGCGGCTTCTGCTGCGCCTGCAGACGTAAGAGTTGTCCGTGTTTTTGTTACAGCAGGTAGTGTAGCGGGGGTGGATGACACGTAGTCATTCGAATCTAGTTACGGTGCATCTTAAGCCTTGAGAGAACAAGGCACCTTTCAAGCCCGACTTTGCAAAAGTGTAGGGTCCAGGCGTGAGCGCTGAGATGGTGAAGTTGAGGGCTATTCCCAAACCTGAAACTCAAGTTCTCTTGCTTATCCCCGTCAAACCAAGGAGTGACCCAGATTATCCGCAGGAATTCTCAAGCCTTCCCGCGTCAATATAAATGAAGCCGGCCCCCCAACGTCAACCAACTGTTTACCTGCCAGCCCCTCAAAAGTCCTTGAAAACAATCAAGGTCAACTGTAGTCAAACCGACTACTCAAGGTCATCTGGGTTGCCGCTAGCTCTGCGAGGCGGAGCACGCGAAGCGAAGTTGGTGGAACCACTACAACCTGAAATCTTCCTGCCTTGCTGGCACCCCCCTGAATCTCTCAACTCCTGAGTCCTGTGTTCTGCCAAACTCTAAACTCTAGGACGCGACTTCCGCGGCTCTGATCATTCCCTTTTGTCAAACGGAGGGAAGCCTTCTAGGCGGAGGACGCCGTGGACTCCTGCTGCTGCGCCTTCCCAGGACTGCCGTGATTCTGTCGTGGAGTACATGTAAGCTTCAGCGCGGGAGCCTGTGGAGTTCCAAAGCGATTCTATGGGGAATGGCAAACATTATTTTTTGATTGCTGGGGTGTTGGAGCGTGTTGCCAAACCCACGGCCCCCATTGGCATCCCAAAGATTGCGCCATAGCCTCCTACATCTGCATGTGCTAGATGCTACTTGTCACGATGCTCCCCGCTCATCTAAATTTCTCAGCAAGTACAGTTTCTGTCCTTGCGCCACGCGGGGCAGGCTGTGCACCACCACCTGCTCCAAAATTAAACTGTTCCGCTTGTGCAACTGCAAGTGGAAAATGTTCAACAGGCCTCCACCCTTCCCCATCGAGAGCTGGATATTGAGATTCTTGCCCTGCACATGGAGCACAGGAGCATGCAGCTCGCGATCAAAGCGACAAAAATCTGACAAGACCTGATGTGATGTTTGCAGTACCTGAAACTTCACACCATCCATCTCCTCGATGGCTTTCAATGCCTCAGTCGACCACGAACCCCTTGCAAATACCAGTATGCCAGTTGCGCAGTACAGATTGCATGTTCTGGAAGATGTGTACGCATGCCCATAGTCCATCCAGCGCAAATCCAGCTGGTTTGTTTACGCAGCGTTGTTGTTGGGAAAGCCAGCGCATCCACGCTCATGAAAGCTTACACTGACATACGCAAACGGTTTGCGGTCATTAAGGTCCCGCGCATCTTTGTAGGTGTCGTAAGTGACGAATGCGAATCCTGGCAGAATCATGCTTTTAGGGATCTCATCAACTTAGGATGGCAAATGCACCTGCTGGCTGTCTCGAGACCCAAACGTCCACAATGTCCCCGTACTTTTTGAACTTCCTTGTCAGCTCCTGGCAGGCTCCGACAACATGAAATGTAAAAGCTGAGCTATACGCGCTTCTTCCTCCTTCTCAGGAGGGACGTCTTTGTCCAAGTTGCCGACATATATCCTTCCAGGATGTGACATGTTTCAGGCTGGTGTATGGAATAGCTGTCTGGTCCTTGTGGGCATGGCCGCTGTCAGTACTTATAATTATGCATGAAATCTTTACGAGGCTTGGATAACCTTGCTGCCTTATCTTAAGATCAACATCTTGCCGAAGCATCATGGAGGAATACGGGTGTGGACAGCTACAAATGTGAAGCTGGGAAACTGATGCACCAAAATAATCCCCTCCTGCGCTTGGGCCGAACACAAGCCGGTAATGAAAGGTTTGCAAGCATCCTAGCATCAAGCTGCAAATAAAGCTTCCAGCGCCAGCCTTCAACTACTTCATGTTGCTGGCTCTGACTAAGTCAGAGAAAGCTGCGCACTTTGACGTGTTACAGCACTGTTGCATCTGCTTCAGCCTCGTGGTTCTGTTGTTTTCGAAGTGCAAAGCCACCAGCAACAACAACATTGACATCAACATAATTTCTTGAACTATACGCTGTGACAACCGAAGTTTGGAGCACCTTACATGCGCGAGAATTTATATATTCTTCAATAATATGATGCACATACCGTTCAGGAGCCTGGACTCAAAAACCCGTGCTGCTACATCTTGTGACGTACCGACTTGAGCTACAAGGAAACCCATGCGTTGGAAACACCCGGAACAATCCGGGAGCATTGAACAAGTTTTGATGGTGAGACACCTAGGGAAACTCAGAAGCGATAGTTAAGGCCTGGACACTGCTGGACCAAACACGATCGGCAGCAGCTCTTCAACATTCCGTGCAGAAAAAGGCCGACCCTCATGAACCAGGAAGCAACGAAAGCTGAGAGGGCGACTTGCCGCAGCAAACTCCACTGTGCAACCATCCTGTTGCTTAACATGATGTTAACAATGCATACGACAACATTTTGTGGATTCGAAAAGGAAACTCGAGGTGCAATCCAGTCCTTTTTTCAGACAGCTTTCACATGTAATCAATTCTGTTTCGCAAATTGGATTGAACAAGCTCGCCAGCCGCACAAATGTTGCGCTACAACTTGCAAGCGGGTAGAGCTGGCCGAGCAAACCAAAAATGCAACAAAATTCGTCACCTGAACCGCGTTTCGAACTTAGAATTATCATGCACAATTTTTCTCAGGCTGAGTCCAACAATGTCTGGAACTGGCTATGCCAGGAAAGGCAAGTTCAGGCATGACCAGCTATGAGATTTGCCGAGATGGCAACAATGGCCAGCTTGGACGACTCAGATTGCTCGGCCGACCAGTCGCGGTGCTGGTGCGGCTGGCCTGAACGTACGTACAGCACACCAACGATGAGCAGTCTAATCTGAAAGCTCAACCCACGCGTCCTATCACTGCTCATAATTTTATGCCCGCCCCGCCCCCCCCCCCGCACACCCACAACAAAGCCACATGCAGCAATGGAATCGAGAGTGCTGCTAAGAATATGAGCAACCAAGAGACCGTGCGAGATGCTAAACGGCTGCTCCGAGCTATGGAGGAGCGAGCACGTCGCTCGAGGTTGGACGCGTGCAAATCGGATAACAGGCTGTCGAACGCCCCGCGCCTGAATCATGAGGGGTGGGCACAACACTCGACGTTTGTACGGCACGGTTTTGCCGCCAAGCATCGGGGCCAGGCCGCGCTGCTGCCACAGGCCCATGGCCACGCATATCAGGTTGGCCAATGCGTATGAGCCCATGATGACCTGTGCGCGCAACATGCTAAACATGCCAACGTGCAGTTCGTCAGTTGAACAGTAAAAAAACTGTAACTGCTTTCCATGAAGTGACGCTTGTCGACGCCTTCGCTGGCCAAAGCGTCGCCTCAGAGTTGTCGAAGGTGCATGCTCACCTGTGCCCTTGCCTTCTCCAGCAGTAAGACACTTCAATACACTAGCCGAAAGTAACCAAGCCCAAGGGCCAACAAACTTCCTGCTGAGCCCCAAGTATACAGGACACTGTGCGCCGTAGAGCGGATGTGGGTTGGAAATGCCGCTGGGGTCAAGACCCACCTCGGCGCACAGGTTGGGGTCAGTTGCGTCAAGCTTGGGCATCGATTGGTTCGTCCGACCAAGCGTGGACGGGAAAGGTTGCGGAGGAGGGAAGCTTATAGCAAATAGATGCAAATAGGAGATCAAGATGTACGGAACTCTCCACTTTGTTTGACGGGAGGCGTGGCCGCACTCCCACCCATTGATCCAGCGCGTACCAGGAAGGCTAACATGGCGACGAGGATCGTTGGCCCGTTCATCAACTTTGCCGCCAGCACAGCAAGGCAACCGATGCCACTTACGAAATAACACCATGGCTGCACCGTGGCAGCACTGAAGCGCCAAGCAGTCAACAAAACAGCTGTAGTGCCAACAATCTCTCCGCAGCTGGTGAAAAGCACTTCGGTGTAGTCCATCGACCCACCAGATGAGAAAAGAAATCCGCTGGCCAGGGAGGCACCGTAGTAACCGAAGAGTCCCAAGCACCAAATGACGCCTCAGATGAATGATGCTGGAGTACAGGCCACCGGCCCCATTAATGTCAGTCACATACACAAACAAGCTTTGTTTCAAAGCGGCTGAGTGAAACCAGTTGCCTCCGAAGAGATGGCGCCTCCGACCACGTCCAAAAGGCTGGCTTGGACTTGTGTCAGGTAGTGCTGAACGACCTATACTTGATAAGACCTGTTGCTGTGACACTTTTCATGTGTCTCAGCCCCTGTGGGTGAGAGCCTGGGCTAAAGTCTGTAGGCAGCGAGGCAGCAAGCAGTTGGGCAGACTTCAATGGACAGACTTCTATCTGCGAGAAGCTGGGCAGCTGCCCAGCTTACTCCCACATCGTGTACCCGCCGTTAGATCTATCATCAATCCGATAAGCTGATAGATGCACCTGATGGGCAAAATCGCATTTCTCTGCCAAAGGCACGAGCAGCTCTCGGCAAGAAGGCTCTGTCTCCCTCGTGTACGAGACTAGCGCAATGTTGCCAAGGTCCTGCCACGTGCTGTGCTTGCTGTGACAAGCCGAGAACTCTGACCTAAGCTTGTCTCTCTTCACCGCAGAACGCTCCAGCAGCACAGGGTGTAAATATGCGACAGCATCCACTTCCCATGCAACTAGATACTAGAACATGCGCATGGACACATCACAAGCCTGTACAGGCACACGCATGACATGGGCATGGGCGCAAGCTGTGTTTAACACATGTGGCGTTCGTGTGTTAGATGTACATGTACATATCTACGCCAGCACATATTCATGCATCAGCAACGGTGATGTTACGCACATACAGTTGCATTATGCATCACATGTGCAAATACGCAAACAAAGGTACATATGTAGTTTCATGACTCTGTCTCATCTCTCCTGGCCGTTCACTGCCGCAATGCGCCGCAGTGTTGCCAGCGCATCCTCGTCGCAGCCACGGTCCAATAGCCACATGGGGCTCTCCTGCGGCTTTCTTAAAGACATTCCTTATCTGAAGACCCAACTTCTCAGTTAACCCGCTTCTAGTTGGAGTTGTAAACCATATAAGCCTCCGAGATCCTCCAAGTAAGGGTGTGGATTGCAATAGCCCTGCACCGTGGCAAGCGCTCCTCAAGGAAGATGTATCCACAGCAGGCCAAGAAAATGGGCAATGCAGTGAGTAACAGGTAGATCCTCAGCTGCGCACTTGCATCTTATTCCTTGAGGCTGGTGCGGTGGCTGGCTGGGCAAGCAAAACGAGCGATCTTGCAGCAAACAGGGATCCTCACTGGCTACGCCATGCTACGCCGCAATTTATCAGCAAACACGATCCCTTTCCCGCCTCTCATGCAGCTGAAATTCCGCCACCCCCAAGTCTCCAGAACGACAGCCGCCAGGACATTCGCGTACAGCGTGCCAATCCTGAGGCGAGCATTTCTCCAGCTTGCTGCCCTCCCTCCTTTAGACTCAGAAACATCACTGTTCAAGAACGCCACGCCACAGCAGCGCATGGGGTCAGTCCTTCAAAGTCCCTGCTCCAACAAAAATACATCCACAACGGATGGCTAACATATTCTCTCAACTCGAGGAATACACCACAAGCAGCATAAACACGGAATGATCGGGCCACTGGATCGGAAGGTTCAATGTTAAGCCGGCCACTTTCACAACACAAGAAGGCCCAACTGAGCACTCCTGAACATCTTATGAACACCACCGCAGACTCTATCCCATCCCCAAAGAAGAAGCAGTTCTGGAGGCCAGTGTCGTCCAGAAATATTCAATGGCATAGCACACTAAGCTCCTTAGACAGCACTTTTGGTGGCTTGTCACAAATCATGTTGCCCATCGGGTGCGCAGCTTTTGTAGGAGACAAGCTAAGGAGACCAGCTCTTGCTTTAGCAGCTGCTGTTTTGTGCCTGTCCCAAGATGTCCAAAAACGGGCTTCAGCCATTTTAGTTTCGCCATGCCCTTGCTTTGGGACGCTAATGGCACAAATAACAAAAACACAATGGCAAATCGGAATGGATGCGAGCAGAGCGAGGTGAGAAGTATGGCTTGCACCTTCTTGGATCTTCTTGGTGGGGCGGCGGGGTGAGGGGACGGATAATTCAGTGAGTGATAACTTAGACTTAAATGGGAGTGAGTCGAAACCCCGTGCCTCATCGTCAGCGCGGACAAGCCTCTGTTACATACCCTTGAAATGCGGGGCTGGTTACATACCCCTTGTCGCGCGCTGTCGCTGCTGCAAACGACTTAGAACACTCATGGTATTGGAGGGCTTGTTGCGCCAGGCGCGCCCCTATTACATACTCCTTGCAACGGCGTATGTCGCGTGTGGGCCCCGGCCTTGTTATCAGCCTTTGGTCTTGACCCCGAAATTTGTCAAGGGCTTTCAAGTGGAATCTTAAAAGAAACAGTGCGATATGGGCAGGCGAGGAGCGAATACTTCTCCGGAACACTCTCCTTAGCACTGCTTTAGCTAAAGGTCCAAGTGAACCACGCAAACTACAAGCGTATCAGTCTTATAGCCATGCGACGCCTGATGCACAGCATTGCGGGGCACATGCCTGGAGCCTCTATATCACTTCAGCTTGTTTATTTGCATAATACGTGCCCCGCATACGTCAAAAGCTTTTGCTCATGCTTTGCAGATGCTGCCGGCTCGCAAGAAGATGCATGGAAGCAGCACTGATTTCACTGATGCTAGCGTCACGTTTCCCGAGATTCTCGGCGCTAAGTATTTACAAGTGCATAATATGCGATGGATTGCCATGGTATGGGGCGGCAACCAGCCGCAGCATCTGCCAGGTTAGGTGATCTTCGCTTTCTGATAGCTGAGCGCAGCTCCGCCAAGTTGTCAAAGGGAATGACAATGCCACCGATGGCAAGGCCAACCAGCCCACGTACAACGACCAGACTGACGTACCTCAGGCGCATTGGCAACCTGGCTCCACCGTCTTGCTCTCCGTCAGCTGCCACTTCTGACTAGGACACATTTAGCCAGCGGTGCGGAACGCAACAGTGCTTGTGTCAGATTCAGACTCTGTCAGGGCACGAGGGGGCCGCTGCGGATAAGCAGCCAGTGAGCAGCAGAAAGACCTTGGATGCTCCTTCACCACAGCATGCACCAACCTGACACCTGACGCTGTGCTGCACTTGCATGGCATGTCTGGGCAGCTCGCTGAGCTCGACATGGTGCAAACTGTGCTGCAGAGGCAGAAAGACAAAGGAGCCCGTCACGAGACATGCTTTGCGAGTTAAGATGCATTAGCCAGCAGGAAGGCGCGCCTGACAAAGAACTTTGTCATGCGGCTAAATGCGCGGTGGCTTTACGGTAGCTAATCAGCTTCGTTGGAGTAACCTGCCAAGAGTGATGGAGGAGTGGCCACCTGGTGCCGGACTACTCCACTGTGGTAATAGACCAATTTTGGGACATGGTGTGACTGATAACGGCGGCCTGCGACCCAAGTGGTCAGACAGGCTGCCCCAAATGCAGCTGCCAAGCCTGAGATCGCATACTCTAGAAAATACAGCCATACTGTGATTGCTCTAACAGCGTCAGAAGAGTCCTCATACTTGGCATGATCTTGAACTGAACCTCTGATGCAAAGAAGGCACAGCTTCGTTCCAAAAACGCTCATGGACAAGGCGTTTAAAGCCCATCCTTGGAGAATTCAGTGGCATGGAGGGAACTCTCGCCCAGCCTGTGCTGCAAGAAATTGCCATAACGGGCAAGCTCTGCAGTCAATACTCTGAGGTTCAGAGATCCATTTCCCTAAAAGCTTCACTCTGGCATCAGTATTCCAAAAACATCATTATTGCAGAGGAAGTGTCCTTCAGCCTCGGGCCACTGCTCCGGAATCTTTTGCTCCAAGAACGTCACGACGCCTTCGTATTGAGTTGCGCAGCTTGCAACTGCACTCCAAATACAAAATGCTTGTCAATGTGCAAGCGTGTTGCCCACTTCTATGGAGTCAGCCATGAAGCCACAACCGGCTATTATCAGCAGTTGTAGCTGGAAACGTCCGAAGCCAATGAGGTCCTGAGACGCTCTAAAAGCAGTTCACCTCATGGACCAGGCGGTCTTGGCCCTTTAAGGCATGCAGCGGCATCCAAGGTTGATGGTGTTTGTCTCGTGGGCAGCTTCTACCATATCTGCAGCCCGAGGCACGAAAACCTCAGCCAAAGATTTCTCTTCTGCATCGCGCGGGCACGCGTTCATCGGAGCAGGTTGGCGTGAAGGCCCCGGCCCATTAACCAGAGGAACACATGCCTGAAAAAGACAAAGGTGCCGCTAGGTGTGCATGGGCTGGCTGCCGAATGTCTAAGGTATGATTTACTTCAAAAAGCTCAGCGATGATAGTCCGTGCATGGAGGTTGCTCCCCTTTTTTTTCTTCTACTGTGGCTCCACAGCCTGTTGAGCCGAAGGGTTTTGAAAGTGCAACAAGAGCTGCACATGTGAGCCATAGTCTAACCTCCCACTCCTAGTATCCTCCTTGAGTACCCTTACAGTAGTCCCCTATATAATTCCCTCTTCAGGGAGTTTAGATTATGGCTCCTGTACCATTGGCAAGAGGCAATTGCACTGTACAGTTCAGCCAGGCCGCCTGGCGTTCTGCTTTCAGGACTTCCCCATTTGCCACGGTGAAATGGCTGACCAGGAATTGCGCCATTCCTCGAACATGGAGAAAACTGCACCAGGCTGGTCCAGACTCATGTTTTCCAATTGAACCCTGCGATAAGGATGCACCGCACGCACAAGCGCAACATAAGCCTCTGACCCAGTAGTCAATTCCGAACCAGTTTAGCAACATCTCTGTGAACATGTGCCTTGGTCAGCATCAATCAGCGGCTTACAAGCAACGAAGCCTGCGGTTGACCGGGCTCCCGACTTGGAAGTGTGCCAGGATTGGCTTTGGAGCTCTTTTCTGAGACTCGGCATATTCAGGATGTACCTTGCAGGACAGGCAGGGGCAGGGGGCTCATGCTCCTAGCGCCACGTAGCCCAAGATCGCTGGTGCATGTGACAGTCACAAGAGCGACCACAACTGAACTCATGATCTGGTTTTGCCAAGAAGGAAGCACTGCATAAACTGAGCACAGTAAGGCCAGCAATGCTGCAAAGGGGGTTTACCCTGACAATTCTAACTCCGCGTCATATCTGCTATTTCATAACCAGCAAATGTTGAGTTCATTCACTGCTTGGCAGAATGCGGATGAGGGTATCGAGCCAAGGTCCCTCAATCTCAAGGTGCCGGGATCTCTGGCGTATTTCAGAGTTCATGCTCCTTGGAGTTGTGCAAAGTCTTGACAGCGCTGAATTGCTGTAGGCATATGGGATGCATCGCAGGAGCTTCGACAGCTTGGGCTTTTCGATTGCATGCGAATCCAATGCTCACCACTACGAGTATGCAACAACACTTACGAAGACCTTGTAAAGATCTTAAGGAGTAACTTCACAGCCTTGAGAATCGCAACTTGCAAATAAAACTTGCTTCGCTGGCTGGGGTGTCCTGAAAACTTCTCCTGTAAGCTGGAATCAGCACGGAGTTAGAGAACGCTAGTTAGAGCAACACACGTGACATGCTACGTAGAAGCGTGCATGGGAAGATACAAGCAATTGAGTTCAACTGACCTGGCGAGGACCCAATCTCCGAAGAATTCTTGAACATTCCTTGCATGCCATCCGCTCAAACCTGTGGCCCACGGCACAGCCGCAGCCAAACCACCAGAGCCAGAGTACAATAAATGCACGCAAGCGCGGTTCAGGCCTGGTAGCAGCCCTGGCACAATCCACCTTCTGAAGCAAGCTGCTGACAAACAGCTCACGCGTCAAGCTATGCTTCACTCGCATGAATAGTACCAAATCGGGCTTGCGCCACCACATCCGGACAGCTGGTACCCATTCTGCGGTGACGGCTCTACAAGCCAAGGAAACACAGCGCCTCTGGATCCAGCTGTCGTGCCGAGCCTTCGATGCTGAGCCTGATGAAAGATCTAGACCAAACTTGAAGGCAGGTGCCTGTCGCTGACTTGTCTTGACACCCTGGCCAACAGCGTGGCTTTCGGCTGTGCAGCTTCATTTTCCACTTGGAGGGGTATATGGAAGGCGGAATCCCAAAGCCTGCCCTTCTTGGGCACACGCATTCCCAGCAAAGTCCATGTCAGCGTAGTGTCAAGGCCCACCTTGGAAAGATCTGCACGAAGAATCCGTACCTGGTACCCTGAAGACTATGCCGTAGCAACAAGTATCTTGCGCGCGGGTTGAACAAATAAAATATGACATCGGGAAGTAGTTGCAAGGCTCTCTGCAAGGAGAACAGGCCACTCAGGCTGCGGACATTGTATTGTCGAACCAACCGCAGCGACTCCAGCACGGCATCGCTGACCTGAAGCGCCCATGCTTCCTTGCTCGGTCCAATGCAGATAGCGGACCTAGAAGAGCCAGATAGGCTAGCGCAGGTGGCTAGGCATGCTTGCATGAGCAGGTTCAACACATCTTCTCTGACATCGAAGGCTGCCCCTTGCCTGCACGAATCCATCCTCGTAGACTTGCTTCCTTCATCAACCATGGATGTGCTGCACACGCTGTGCTGTTGCGTGATACGCCTTAACTTGCTGAAGCGATCTTAACCCGTGCTGTTACGGACCCTCAGCTGCAGAAGGTCAAGGGTTCTTAATTTCAAATTGCATGCTGGTCCTGCAGTCGCAGAAGGCCTGCCATGGAAGCCACGCAGCATACAAGAGCAACACTGGATAAAGCCATATCTTTCAAAATGTGACTGAATGAAAGGTGAGCTCAGGTCTTTCTTGTCCACTGGGTGTTCTGCTGCACTGCTTCATCTTTGACTTCGTCAGTGCTCAGCCCCGCGGAAGCTTGTTCTGAAGCGTTGGGTGCAGCACCCCAGGACTGAAGGACTTCCCTTGACAGCTCTGCCTTTGCCAGTCCGCTCTTGAAAGCCTGCGGGTCCTTCCGACAAAGAATACTTGAGGCTGAAGCATCAACCGCCGCTCAAAACGGGTGTTTGGCTCTGAAACTTCCTTCTGTAAACTGTCCAGTCAGTCCTGGCAGTTCGAGGTATCGGGACTCTGGTCATACAGAATTTGGGCGGCCTGGCGCACATTTGCTGCTGCTTTGTAGCATTCCAGGCTTGCATACAAAGCTGCACAACAGCACCCGGGACTAATCCGAGCACTTGGTTTATAAAAGGGTCTATTTGAAAAAAATTGGGTAAAATTAGCCGCCGAAGACTACTTTCAATTAGGTTGAATTTCGTATGGGGACAAGGGACTTAGACTTAAAGATTGTTTTTGGTGGACCAATCCTGAAAATCGAGATATTCAATGCTTTCCTATTCATGTTTTAATTAGTAGAGGTCCAACAGCCCCGACGGCGCGGGAATGCATTCCTATTCTTTTGTAATTGAATTCCAGGAACCCCAATCATTCTTTTAATCTGGCGCCTTGCATTTCTTATTCTGGCGGGGGTGGGCCCCCCAAATTAATCAAGTGCTAGGATTCAATTGACTACATGGCATCCTACAATAAGCCCAGCCCTGACTTATGGGAACCCATCAAGCCGGCACGAGAAAAGCTGCTGCCATGGCCCGCGCTCGATTGAAATCACCGTAAATTATGGCCAGCGCTAGGGAGCGCAGCGCCTGCAAGCCGGATGCGTACTTCCTCAAAGGAATTGAGTATAGTGAGCTCTCTGCAGCAGAATGTAAGAAAGACCGTCTGTGTCTGGAATCATCCTGCCTCAACCTTTTCACTCGGGAGAGGGATGGCCAAACCTGCGCTAGCTTCAACGTTCTCCCATCCCTAGCCAGAGCTGCTGCAAGTAGCAACGTAGGCTGGTCAAGCCAGATCAAAGAAACAACAATTCCCCACTTGTTGAGCTTTGCACCAGCATCCAGAATGATGAGCTCGAAGGGCTGCCCCCGTGCGCCTTGCCAAGCAGGGAACGAGAACAAGTCTGCACAACCTCTTGAAGTCTTGGAGGAAACTGCCGGGGCTCAGCCAATCATAGCAGCGTCATGGGAGTGTGTAAAGCACGTATCTTAAGCTAGAAACATGAATACAAAAACAATGAAATAATGTGGGGTCAGCATGCTTTGCACCGACTTAGCAATTTGCCGAGGATGCAGGCATTTTGGAGTCTAAGATCGCTGCGGCTCACGACTGAGCTCAGGTGGTCGGAGGCCTTGCCCTCAGACCCAGGACGCACTTTCTGCGGTGGCGACTTGGACATGGCTTCGAAGCTGTGAGGGCTTGGTTGGCTTGGTCCAGTAGACAACTTAACAGCCTTCCGTTCACCGAGGCATGCGCAATCAGCGAGCTGGCTTCCTCCGTCTGCGCGGACGCCTGTGTCTGGATGCTTGCCACTCCAAGGCGCAGAAGACAAGTACAATTCAATGTTGCTTGTCAATGGCTACGATGCTCGGCCTGCCCTGAGCTGCTGCTCGAGCCGCCAGACTGCAGCCTCAACCGGGCAAGCAGCTACGAGCGCAACCAGCGAATGCATGACTACTCCAAGTCTTACTCGCTGGCAAGTGCCGAATTCGGGCAATCGTCCCAGAAACGCACAAAGCAAGCACCAGTTGCAAGCACAAGTTTCGAAGGGATTCTGCGCGCGCTTGCAAAATCGGACTCCAAGCGCAATGCTTCAGCATAACGTTGCCGGGATGTAGGTCCTCACTTGCAAAAGCAATTGCAACAAGGCATTTTTCAACTGTTTCCTGCCCTGTGCCGGGTGGCCCACTCCATGGATGAAGTGGTCTTTGAAGATCATCCGCATGTATGCTGCCAAACCTGTCTGAATTGTACTGCGGAATTTGGAAGAACATCGAGGTTCCGATGCAATGCGTGGGGATCGCATCTGCAAACTGCCGAAGCTGAATAGGCTAGCGGCTAGCATAGCAAGAATGCTGAGAATCCGGGCTGTCGGATGCGATCCGTTGGCTCACTTCCTGCTTCCGCATGTCACTGTCAGAACATCCGCGCGCAAGTAGCTTTCCATCAACACGCTTACCGGCCACTGTCAACTCCGACTTTGTTCGTCAGCTGAGGTAGGATCCTCCGGAATGCCCAGGATGCTTCTGATTGTCCCCTGGCAACAGCCATGATGCTTTAATGGTGGTAGGGATGGTGGTAGTCATGCTACTGTTATAATTCTTAGTTGGTCTTGAATTCGTAAAGCAATGGTAATATGTTAATGGACGTAGCGGTAGCCATGATGTGGATACTGGCGGTGGTGGTAGCAAGAGTAGTAGTAGTAGTAGTAGTAGTAGCAGTAGTAGAAGGATTAGTACTAATAGTGGTACTGTTGCACCCGTTTAAACTTAGGCGCCCCCTTTTCTACTATTGCTATTACTTTGCTACTTTCACTACTTTTATGACTTCTTCTTCTACTACTACTACTGCTGCTGCTACTACTACTACTACTACTACTGTTTTGTGTAGGGACCCTCTTTAATGTATTTTCCGCCGCCGCTTATTCAGGACATGGCCATTGTTTGAGTGACCCCGTTTAACGTGTTTTGTTTTTTTTTTGGCCCTGAAAATACGGGACCGAATCCAGACTATCCCTTTTAAAGGAATCCCCAAGGCCTCCGGCACTCAGTACCCTGGGAGCCCTTATTCAGGGTCCGTGTTTTCTATTTAGTAGTAGTAGTAGTAGTAGTAGTACGGCGAAAAGTGTAGGTTTGCC